GAATGTGAAATGATACCCGGTTCACCTATTAACAAACATCAAGTTGTGTGAACAATGTTCATATGTTTACTTCTGAACATTGTTCATTTGTTTCAAAATAATTAGTAATCTGTACATGTCTAGTTTACATTGTATGTATGTGGTAATTTGATTCACATATGAACCCGATTCCTTTTTTAATATTGAAACGAAATGGTTCACCTATGAACAAATGTTTATTTGTGTATGTAACCGACAGTTAATTTGAATAATTAAGAAATGTAACCGACATTTGAACAATTGAGAAATGTAACCGACAATTAATTTGCATTAAAAAAAATCAAATTAAAAGATAAACACTTACAAAAATAAAAAATTATATAATTAACAATATAACTTATACTTTAAAACAAACTAAAATATAAAAAATACATAATTATTTTGTATATAATCATAGATAAGTGTAAAGTGTATGGAGTGTGAATATTTGGTATTAAAGACATGAAAAGCATGTGTACCAATGTGAACAAATCTAAAAATCAAATCAAAAAGCCAAAAATTCACAACAAACTCTATAACATTTTTAACAATTATATTATAATTTTTTTTAAAATAAAGTATTAAAAATTAGAATCTTTAAGAAAATTTGATCTGATTTCTATTATAACATAGATGTTAGAGATCTTTTAACCGATATATATGTGGAGAAGATCAAATGTTAACCAACAATTTTGTATTAACTTTGAAAACCATGACAACCAATCAAATTTCATTCTTTTTGTAGGTTTATGTCATGTTCACATTTTAATTACAAGGGTATTTCAGTAAATTAATTTGATATGTAACTCCCAAACAATTAATGGGAAGTTACAAATCATCAAATCCCAAAAAATATGCATTTATAATATTAATATATATATATATTTTTTTAATCTTGATCTTCCATGTTTATTGTTTTATTATTTTTTAATTCGCATAGAAAACACGGTAGTAAAAATTTTCGGTATTGATCAAGCTAATATGAATAAACGCAATGAAAAATAAATCGACAACAGTGAGAAATTAAAATGGTTTATGATGACAATCGAAGTTCGAGGTCGGGAATTGAAAAAATTAACCAAAGCGAATGTCTTGGTAATAGATTTTTATTTATTTTTAGATTCGTTTTAATCGAAATTATGTTCACTACGATGTGTTGTGTTTTTTATAATTTATCTTGTATTAATAGTTTTTTTCTTTAATTATTAAAATATGTACCTAATTCACATGTTCAAATGGAAGTACATGCACGACTCATTTTCATATCGTCATATTACCGACTTTTATGAATCATGAACCATTGTGTTCATGTTACTTCTATCATATGAACACAAATGTTATTTTTTAAGCTTGATACCAAATTTTTATATTTGTGTAAGTGTTTGCACCCGGTGTTCATAGCGTTGAGGTTATGTGTTCATATATTTTATACGATATGAACAATGGGTGAACACGATATGAACAGGAGGTGAACAACCACATAAGACCAGAAACATATATGAACAAGGGGTGAACCTTAAATGGTGTGGATGCAATGCATGTATAAAACTTCAATTGACAAAATATCGCTCATGAATGTGTTTATAATGAAGGAACTATTGTTCACAAGCTGTTCATATCGTGTTCATACATGTTTTTTTATTTATTTCCTTTCATATAACAATTATTCTTATTATGTTCATATTGTGTTCATAAATGCTATGCAGTCCAAATTCATATATATAATTTTTGTTCGTATTTGACACAATGGTTCATATATATATAGGGTATATTTCTTTTACAACCTTGTGCATTTGTACAACCTTTGCAACCCAATTAATTGAGATATTTATAGAAATGATTGGAGTTCATTTATTATGATTTGAATATTTATGGAATATGAATAGAGTTTATTAATTATGATTAATACTTTATATTAGGAACAATTAATTGATTAAAAATTGAATGGTTGAGATGAGGGTTGTATAGGGTGTAGGAATGACAAAGGGTGTAGAATAACATCCCTCTATATATATATATATATATATATATATATATATATATATATAGTTGTGTTCATATGGTTTTACATTAACAAAAATAAATTAACAAAAANNNTTTTTTTTATGTAACTTCGTGACCCAATCTTAGCCCTTCATCTTGGAAATCTATGGGTTTACATTTATTCTTGCATTCTTGTAATAAATTAGCATAAGATGCATTATAGACACAAAAGAACATTTATGAACAGGGTTATATTTGAAAGAAATCATAAAGATTTTTACAACGTCCATGTTTTATGTTAGTAAACACATGTATTATATAGTYTAGTTCACATATGAAATGAATGTGAAATGATACCCGGTTCACCTATTAACAAACATCAAGTTGTGTGAACAATGTTCATATGTTTACTTCTGAACATTGTTCATTTGTTTCATAATAATTAGTAATATGTACATGCCTAGTTTACATTGTATGCATCTGGTAATTTGATTCACATATGAACCCGATTCCTTTTTTAATATTGAAACGAAATGGTTCGTCTATGAACAAATGTTTACTTGTGTATGTGACCGACAATTAATTTGAATAATTAAGAAATGTTACCGACATTTGAACAATTGAGAAATGTAACCGACAATTAATTTGCATTAAAAAAATCAAATAAAAAAATATAATTAAAAGATAAACACTTACTGAAATAAAAAATTATATAATTAACAATATAACTTATACTTTAAAACAAACTAAAATAAAAAAAAATACATAATTATTTTGTATATAATCATAGATAAGTGTAAAGTGTATGGAGTGTGAATATTTGGTATTAAAGACATGAAAAGCATGTGTAGGTGAATCATGACCACACCAATCTGAACAAATCTAAAAATCAAATCAAAAAGCCAAAAATTCACAACAAACTCTATAACATTTTTAACAATTATATTATAATTTTTTTAAAAAATAAAGTATTAAAAATTAGAATCTTTAAGAAAATTTGATCTAATTTCTATTATAACATAGATGTTAGAGATCTTTTAACCGATATATATATATATATATAGGGTTGGGTTCACGTGAGACCAATAGTTTTTCGTGAGACCCGTAAGATTAATTTATGTTCATTGATCAACTTTGTAAGCTAATAACCTAATGGTCTAAAGTTGTACGGTGACAATTTTGTGATTATTGAGAAGTCTCGTGACAATTTTGTGATTTTAAATGTTCAAATTGTAGATATAATCAAGAGTTGAGAATTAGTCTTACAAGTTTCACGAAAACCCTTGGTCTCACATGATCCCAAGCCCCCCCTCCTCTCTCTTTCTCTCTCTCTCTCTATATATATATATATATAAGAATAAGTCTCATCTATTAGATTAAATATTCCAGTGGTCAACATCTTGAGAGAGAGAGATAATCTAATCATTTGCGAACCTACAAAATTGTGAAAATATGGAGAACTAATGCATCCATTTCGTATGATTTCTTTTCATCTACAACTAAATTTAGTGTATTGATTAACATATTATATATATATATATATATATCTGGTTCATATGCGAAACTTTTTGACATGTTTGTGAACAAGAAAATACGTAAAAAAGTTTTACATTATGAACCCAATACATATGAATTAAATATATATATTAATTGTGTAAAATAATACCGTAAAATAAAAATTCTCACAATTTTCACAATATATTCCATCTTGATTTGATTCCCCTATAAATATTACCCCTCTCTAACCCCCACCACCTCAAATTCAGTCCATTCTTCCAATTCCCGATTCAACTTCGCAATCTTCTTTTTAGAGCATATAGTAGTAATAGACTCAAATTGAAATTACTTCCCAATTTCTCGTAATTATTCTTATCTTTTCAGGTAAAAGTTTTAATCTTTTGAACTGAATTTCTATGCTTAAACTTTGTTTTTTCGTGTTCAGTGAGTTTTGATTTATTGGGTGCGATTACACGAATCATATCATTTGATTTTCGTTAATTACTTGGGTGTGTAATTTGTGTTCATCTGATGTTGATTCTTGTACGRAATGTAGGTTTGTTATGTTAAAATGTGCATTGATTTTTTGACGTTGAGGCAATTATAGCATGTAATTGTTCTTGAATTCCAGTGATMATGTGTATGAATCTTGCTTAGATGCTATTAACTTCACCAAAACCGTATTTGGGTTTTTATTTAGGAACTGCATTGTTGTTAAATTATAGCGTTTGATCATTCTTAAATTCATGTTATCGTGTGCATRAATTGTGCTTCTTTAGATTCTCGTGAATTAATTAAAAGTTCGATTCGGTAATTATAAATCACATTTATGCTTATATGATCAAGCAAAATTTATCTGCAATAGTCTATCAATTTTATYGCTTGATCGTTTTTCATAAGGTTCTTTAAATTTTCTTTAAAATGAAGAATTCAAAAATCTAAATTAAAAAAAAAATTATATTCTTTTCTAACAATTTTTTTTTGAGCCTACAATATTAAATATATATTTGAAATATTTAATATTTAATATTAAAAACTTTCATTGATGGAAATAATTATACTTTATTATTTATTTCTCTCTCTTAATAAAGAATTTTTCGAAGCTTTTTAAATTTAGAGAATTTTAAATGTCTCATATTTCATTTAATCCAAACAACAGTCCAAAATATTTATTTTAAAGAATTYTTTTAAGAGGTTGTTTGATTACTTCTATTAAAAGATAATTTTTGAATCGTTAAGAGATTAATTTTGTTTAGCAAAAAAAATCTGTTTTTTAATAATTTTAAAACCCTCTGATTTTGTATCTTGAGTCTTCCTTAACCATTCAACACATAATTTCTTTTTAAATAATTAATAAACAATTATATTTTATTTTACATTAAGAGTCTCTTAATTATTCTGAACACTTGCTTAGTCATTTTGTACAAAATGATTCAGCAATTGAAAAAGAGCACTTTAAGATACAGTCTATATTCTTGTGAAATTGAAAGAATCAGAGTTTGATTCTATAATTAGAAGCTCCATTTACGCTTAGATGATMTTGAATTTAAAAGATTTCTAGTTTGATTTTGGTTAGAAACTCCATTGATGTTTGTGATGTCTTCTTTTCTCTAGATTATTGCCATGAAGTTGAGATCAAATAGGTCGATAAACTACGAGAAACCGAGAAGTGATTCGAGTCGAGATCACGGACAAGCCGCAAACGAGAACAAATCTTCCGTAAACTCAACCGAATCGCCTTCYGTTGGCGCTTTTCTAGAAACCCATAAACGGGGGAGGAAAAGAAAGAACGACGGGATTTCTCGATTCCCCAAATTGGCGGAGAATCCGGCAAGAAAAAAGCGTAGGGTGGCTAAGAAAACCGACATGAAAGAAGGATCGAAGATGCAAGAAAATGTCGAGGAATCTAGAGTCATGAAGGGTTTGAACGAAAAGCAGCTAGTAAGAGATCGAATACTTGGAATTCTAACGAAAGCCGGCTGGAAATTCGATCTTGTTCAAAGAAAACACTCAAATCACAAAGATCCGGTTTATACCGATCAAAAGGGCCGAACTCATTGGTCAATCACCGAAGCTTACTATACTCTTAAAAGGTCTATTGAAGACGGCGAAGCCGAAACACAAGAGATTTCTGCATTTACTCCGATCCCAGAAGAGGAAATGAACGGATTGTGCAGAATCTCTAGAAAGATACRGAGCGATAAGAACAAAAAGAAGAAGAACGAAACGGGTAAAAAGTGTGTTAGATTGGCTAAAAGACAATCAAGCGTTGAAGGTAGAGTAGCTAAGTGTGTTCGAAAAGATGGCTCGAAGAGCGRCGAACCGCAGAATTCCGCTCTTAGAATAATGGCGAAAAAATCATCAAAAGTTAACGCGAGAGTGGCCAAGCTAACGGGTGTGCAATTAGATGGCTCAATGAGCAAATGTCTACAGAATCCCGCAATAAGTAGTGGCAAACGAAATCTTTTCGCTTGGCTTATTGATTCYGGCATCATTTCACATGGCGGGAAGGTCCAATATCGGAAAACTAGAAAAAGTAAACGCGTCTTTGAGGGGACGATTACTGCCAACGGGATTCGTTGCCACTGTTGTAACGAAATTATGGGGATTTCAAGATTCGTGTCCCATTCGGGAAGCAAACTCAGTCGGTCGTTGAACGATATCTATCTAGAGTATGGAAGATCTCTTCAGGAATGCTTRCTGGAATCGTGGCGAAAAGTGGAGGAATCAAATGCCATTGGATTCACGTCCATCGACGTTAATGAAGACGACCCTAACGATGATTCTTGCAACATTTGCGAAGACGGTGGTGACTTAATTTGCTGCGATGGTTGTCCTTCGGCATTCCATCAAAGTTGCATCGGTTTACAGGTWACTACGGTCGATCAGTTTTTCGGTTATGAACTTTAGAACATCACTAGATTCGAATACAAGCCTCTTTTCGTGTTAATCGAAAGGTTTTTTTTGAATCCATTACCTTCCGATAAGTTTAAGTACGCCAATTTTATCCATAAGAATGCCCGAAACCTGTTAGAAGGTCATRGATTTCAAAAACACTTGYTAGGAGGCCATTTAGCTAATTAGATAAACCGTTTAAAAAACACTACAACGACAATCAGATTTACAGGAGACCAACAATTTAATAAGGCGTACATTTATAGGACCAAACAATAAAATATCATAACTAAATGTGTTGTAATAAGTTTRTTTTACTTTTTTAAGCGTCTTAACAAGTTTTTAAGACATTTCAAAAAATAAAAGCGTCTTGTTAACTGTTTTATAGGGCACMTTTGAAAAGTAACCTATAAACATATATTTTTATAAAACACTTTTTTTCAATAGTGTCATATAAAATAGCTAATACAACGTTTTATTATAAAAAATTCTATAAAAATATGTTAAGACGTCCAAAAGCGCTCTATAATATAAACTTATTACAACACATTTAGTTAATACGTTTTATTGTGCGACTCTATAAACTTAACTCCTATAAACAAGTCTATTATTATTACACTTGTACATTTTTAGTTTACTATAAACCTTTTTATTGTACTGTAAGGATACATATTTATGTGGTTTATTTGCATTCTAGAAATTACCTGCTGGGAAATGGTACTGTRTATATTGTTTATGCAAATTCTGCGGAAGGGTCGCACGTAGAGGTCGTCGTGCCTTTGTTTCTGAAGCGGTTTCGTGCTCGTTATGCGAAGAGAAATGTACGTATYTTCTSGGATTCCATCTCTTTTGGTTGTAAYGACGTTTCTTTCATCGTGTTTTCGATATCCGATGAATCTTGATAACAACTTCTACATTTTTATAGTTCACAAATCATGTCTACATGAAGGAGATGCTGTAAATATGGACTCCATCAGTCTATCTTTCTGTGGAAAGAACTGTAAAGAGGTAATTTGAATTATTTTTTTGTAATAATTGTCTCTTTAGTTGATTTATTATGGAAATTCAATGTGATCGTACATACATATAGATATAGAGAGAGACTTGGAATCACGTGAGACCAGTCTTTTTCGTAAGACCCGTTAGACCACTTTTTTACACTTGAAACTTCATAGCGAAACGCTGTGAAGGTAAAAGAAGAAGAACTGTGTTTTGCTGTGAAGTTTCAAAATGTAAAAAATGATTTTACGAAAACAGGCTGGTCTCACATGAACCCCACTATATACATATATACACATATATGTAGGGCGTAACCGAATTAAAAACACAAAAAGGTTGAGTACCCTAAGAATTATTCATCGTGTGTTGTTTCACATTGTGAAACAATACATTTGAAAGTATAGTGTTGTCTTACATGAAACAAAATATATAAAATACAGACATTAAAAATAATGAGATTATGAAACAATACATAAAAAACTGTCCTCGATATTTTGATGGTTCTCATTTGGTTAGTTTCATACACACACACATACATATATATATATATATATATATATATATATATATGTCATTTCAAATAAGAAGGATAAATATTGTGAGGAGGAAAGGTTCATATGTGAATTGGAAAAAAAAATCTATTTGAAAATGCATATGTGAACCTATTATTTATATAGATTCACATTGCATCTTAAAATGAGTTTTTCAATAATTCATATATGAATATTTTTTTGTAACCTTCTCACAATATTTYACCTTCTTATYTAAACCCCTCTCTATATATACATGCATATGTATCTATATAATATTGTTTTATTTGTACTTGTAAAATTTCATGCACAATCTTACCTAATAGTTCATTCTTRATAGATCTATGAAAAATTGAAGACATTGTTCGGAGTCAAGACCGAACTAAAAGAAGGGTTCTCTTTTACTCTTCTTAAACGCTTTGACCTCGATCAAGATACGGAATCTAACACACAATTGATGATCGAATGCAATTCCCGTTTGGCTGTTGCATATTCGGTTATGGACGAGTGTTTCGTTCCCATCGTTGATCGTAGAAGTGGAATCAACATGATCAAGAATATGGTATACAATTGTGGGTAAGTTCTT